AAATGTCGACCATTCTTGGACAACTAGCCAATCATTGTTACCCATTCGTATAAAAAAAAAAATAATAATAATAATAATAATAAGAATAATAATATATATATATATATATATATATATATATATATATATATATATATATATTAAATAATAATAATAATTCAGGTTTTTTGTTTTATTTGATGTCAATAATACATATCAGTTTAATATAAGCCAAATTGACCTCTAGATACCGACATCGGTCATTAAAAAACCCTATTGGTCAACCACTAATCAAATCTTAATGTTCTTTCTCAGTTCTATGATGTTTAGTAGTCAATGATCAAAGACGACACTCTGAAACAGAGTCACTGTCACTGCAGCATACACCGCCTGAGGTATTTCACATTTCTGTCTCCCAATTACAAGCTCCATACCCTCAAAATCTCAAACACTTGAGGCGTTCTTCCGCACCAAGATGCTTTTGTAACCATTTCCACCTGCCACTCTACAGCTCTGTATTGCACATCTGCAGTGCTTTCCCACAGATACGGACAGGAAACAGCCCAGTGTCGAAAGGCTGCATCCAAGATTCCTGCTTCCTCTCATACATGCATAATCAGTGCGGTCTTTCTTTCAGCTGCCAAACGGGTCCAAAACAATAGCTGAAATAACGATGGAGGCTGAGCCTGTAAAAACTTTAGCTATACAAACCCTAAGGCTAGGCTAAGACTGTGGAGACACCCAAGAGATTTGAGATACTGCTTTCTGGTACCTGAAGCGCTAAACTCCCAGAGGCTGAGATCTTTGCTCCAGTCAAGACTTCACAGAACCAAACATCGCCTGTTTCTTTAAGACTGAAACCCTGTAGGCACAGCAGGCGATTTGCATGCACTACCTCTAAAGCCTTCGGGACGTTTCACTCAGTAGTGAGAGAAGTACACACCTCTTGGCAAGGTCAAGAGTAACGGTGCACAACCAAGTGGGAATGACTGGAAATATGGAGACTTGGCAAAAAATGCAAGATGTTCAGCCTCAGACATGACTTTAGGGCGTTTGCACAAGATGATTCCCATTAGACCAAAAACTAATCTTGCAAGTGAGGCTAAAAAAATAAAAGAAGATGGAGAGGGGGGTTAAAAAAAAACCTCAATTTTCCCAGAGAAGAGTGCTGCTTGTCAAGTTCATTTTCTGACAACAGCACGAGCTCCACCCCTCCCCTGGAGGCCTGGATGCGCTGCTGTGTATCGACAGTCACAGCAGGAAGCTCATCCAATCATAGCAGCCGCTTCAATGGGACAGGCCTAAAGTACTGCGCCAAAGTGATTATTGATTTACAAATAACTCCTCTCCTTTTACACAGCCAAACCAGAAGTCTGCTGACTGATTCTCTGAGACTGCATGCATCTAAGCAGATATCAACATACTAGTTACTTTGTGGGTATTAAAGGTCTCTAATTTATATTAACAAATTTATTAGAAATCGAGTGCCTGTTGTCTTGAGATAAAGTGTAATTCTATCCGTTTAATCAAACATGATTGGATGTTGACCAATGTACTGTACAATCATACATCAAATAAAAATATATATAAAAAAAATATCATAACATAACTCAACTTATAACACTGACACACACAGTCAATGACAAACAGAATCAGATACACAAGATCAACGAGAGCCTCTTTCTTCATTAACCTGTTGAGCCAAAAGATAATGCAAGTAAATGTAATTTCAGATCACGTTTAAAGGAGCCTAGCGAAGATGCTAATCTTAGGTGTAGCGGTAAGATATTCCAACGCTTCGGAGCAGCCAATGCAAATTCTTAGATACCACTCAATCTTAATGTGGTCCTAGGAACATCTAAAGTCATCTGACTTGACCTGAGTCCTAGGTGGTTTATGTACACAAAGAAGATCTGCTAAATATGAAGGCCCCAAGTTGTGTAGTCCTTTGTATACAATAATCATAATTTAAAATCAATTCTATATTGAATTGGCAACCAATGTAGTGAGGCTAAAACAGGCGTTACATGCTTTTTCTTAGGAGTACCTGACAAGAGTCTGGCAGTAGCGTTCTGCTAGCCTAGAAATCTAGACGCACCCTAGCGGCAGCAAAAATTATTTTGCAGCCAGTGTGGTCTAGCAACAATCCGTTGGCTTTCGAAGTGGAAGAACCAAACTCTGGTCAGGCCAATCACATCGTGTATAGAGTTGGTGGGCGGGCTTAACACAATGACGGCAGAGTTGTGATGGTTCTGCGCCGTGATTTCCATAGGTGATTTCCCTACTACTTGAAAACAAACAAGATGCTGCTGGCGAACAGCGGTCTTTCGAAGCGGCTTTGGCCGCGACTCTGGAGGACTTGGAGTTAAGAGAACGTCACTTAAGTCATTCCTAAAAAAGGAAGATGTTTTCGGAGTTTTGACGACCGGATACGGCAAAAGTTTAATATATCAACTAGCTGGTGGGAAAACGCATGGGACTCACTCAGACACAGCCGTCCGTTGCTCTGGTTGGTTGTAGCGCTATCCTATTGCGTGCAGAGGGATATTGAAAGACAACCGTTTATCCCGCCCCTCGGATTGAGGTATGCCAATTGTGAGTTCCCAGACCTAACATCTTGATGTAGGTCTGGCTTGCCAGGCTAGCGTTCTGCACCAATTGAAGACGATTTAACAGTGATTGGCTCATACAGCGAACTACAATGATCCAGTCTTACAGAGATGAAAGCATGAATAAACTCTTCAAAATTACTTGAAGACAAAAATGGTTTAAATCTCAGACAGAAAACAACAGAATTTGACCACTGAATTAATCTGTTTATCAAATTTCAGGAAATTATCAAACTGTACGCCAAGATTCTTTACCACCACTTTAAAGAAAGGGGTAAATCAGACAAATTTTAAGTATCAGGAGCCGCAAACCAGATTATTTCAGTTTTACTTTCATTCAAATACAAAAAAAAAACAAAAAAAAACAAATGAATGACATCCGTAATTTAACTTCATGGAGGCAGTTCAATAGTGACTCAATTAAACTCTTATCCTGTTTCCACAAGGGAGCGCGGGGCACAATGTAACGTGGGGCTAGTTGTAACACACTTGTTTTAAATACTTCCACACATGCCAGCATGACGAAACTTGGTGTATTTACTAGTTGCCATTTCAACACTATATAGAGAAAAAATTGCGCCAAAATTCAGAAATCTTTGTAAGATATCACTGAACATTTATTTAACCATAGCAAAAGTACATTTCTTAAGTTCATTTTTCATCTCTATTTTTTGTGTTTATTTAAAATTAGACAAATCTGATATTATTTTAATCTCCAATCTGTTGTTTAACAGTTGATATAGTTCTTTAATGCTTCGCTAACAAGCAGAAGACACTAGCAGGGTTTAAACCCCAGTTGTGCAGCTGGGGAACGTTGTAACACTGCGTTACAATGTGCCCCTATTAGAACTATGCTATTATATTCTATACTTTTATGAATTCTATTGAGAAAACATGAGAAACGTAAATAAAGACTAAGAGTCAATGTTCAGAAATGATTCATTATTATTTTGTTTTGACCTATGCTGTATAGCTGTGTTTTCCGTTGTGTGTTTGTTGTCAAACTCAAAAATTAGTTTATTTTTCATTATTAAAAAATTCCATTATTTTATATGAAAAAGTTAATAATTGTATTTTACTAAGAAAATATTTTGGTTTGACTTGTATATATTTTTAATTAGATCAGATAGCATTTTAAGCTGTCATATGGTGATGTTACAATGCGCCCCTCACATGTTACAATGTACCCCACCTATGGGGCATGTTGTCACATTTCACTTCCATTCTTTCGGGGTAAATCAAGAAAAAAGTATACACTGTATTAATAAAACAAAACCACATAATTGTACTAGACATGTGGGAAAAAATAAATACTCTAAACCCTAAGTAGATTTACACAAACTGAGAAAGTCAAAAACCGTTACGTTGTGCCCCGCTCTCCCCCTACACCTGAGTGTCATCTGTGTAACAATGAAAAGATAATCCATGACTATGAAATATAGAACCTAAAGGAAACAGGATTGGGCCCAGAATACTGGCTTCTTTCTGCTCTGACAATGTTCCCCAACCACAGGAACAATTCTCCATGCCAAACAGCCAGGCCAATCAAGGTGTGAATGGAGGACCACCATCATGAACATGTCATGGCCAGCCCAATCTCCAGACCTGAACCCCATTGAAAACCTCTGGAATGTGATCAAGAGGAAGATGGAAGATCACAAGCAACAAACAAGGCTGCGCTGCTTGAATCTTTTGGTCAAAGGGTGGCATAAAGTCACCCAACACATGACACATGAAAGCTGCAATTGGAAATTAGGGTTATTCCACCAAATATTGATTTCTGAACTCTCCCTTAGTTCAAATATTAGTAATGAATTGTTTAAAAATGAATATAAACTTGTTTTCTTTGCATCATTCGATGTCTGAAAACGTAATGGCATAATTTTTGTTATTTAGACCAGTTGTTATTTTCTGCAAATAAATGCTCTAAAAGACAATATTTTTTTTATTTGAAATTTTGAAGAAATGTTGTCAGTAGTTTATAGAATAAAACAAAAATGTAAATTTTACTCAAACACATACGCTCAATTGAGGAGTATGATTGCTTTTACACGATAAATCCAGAGAAACTGCTAATATTGCAGTGGTCTCTTTACAGAGCTGTATATATATATATATATATATATATATACATACACACACATATATACTACTAAATGAACTTTGAAATTCCCTGACACGTATAAGAGTGATTGTCTAACATCTCTAAGCTACTATCATTTGAAGCTGAGTCAAACCTAAATATATATATATATATATATATATTTGCAACAAGAGCAGGAGTTTATGATCCTCCTCCGGCTTGTGTCATTTGAAGATCATTCTCACAATACTAGAACACAACACATTTACGTCATAATTCCTCTAGCAAATCATATGACACTTAAAAGATACAAAAACAACATTACTTACGTCACTCTGCCGGTCAGTGTGGTCTGCACGTGCTTCTGGAATTCAGTATATTTAGAGGCCAGATACACAAAGTCTGGAGGTTTATCCTTATAACGGTTTCGAGGATGCATGGATTTATTCAGGGCCATTCTTCCTGCAATGCTGCAAGACAGATTGCACGTCACTACAAACAGCAATCAAAAAGATCCACGAATCTTAAGTCGTGAGTCAAATAGAATTAAAGAGATAGTTCATTCCATTCCAGTTTTCCATTCACTTTCATTGTATGGAGAAAAAAAAGATGCTTTGAAAGTCAATGGTGACTGAGACTGTCAGCCCCAACTATTCTGCCTTACATCTCCTTCTTGTTACACAGAAGAAAGAAATTCATACAAATTTAAATAACATGAGGGTGAGTAAATGACAGAAATTTCATTTTTGGGTGAACTGTTGCTTTAAGTTTTGTTTTCCATGTGCATAATTTAAAATGCGACACATATCTGTGCTGTTATTGCAGATGTCTATTTATAGAGGAATCATATTACTCTTGTCTTATTACTATGTAATGTACTAAATTATCACGAATCACAAACGTGCTCAGGGGTAATTCTCTTGATTTATGCTAAGAGAATAGCCAAACAGCTAAGTTAATAGATTCACCAGACAAGACACTGCAAACATGCAACTCTAACGAATAGCACAGGCGACACTCGTTTAAAATATCCTTAGATACCGTTTAAAAATATCGGAAGATTAGATGAATACCGATGAGTGAAAACTTCAGGAGTTTCTCAGTGTGCAGCACACTCGGCTGTCATTGGCAAATCACGTTGTACCAACGTTCAAGTGTTTCTTCCCGGGTTCCGCCTCAGTCACAATTCTGCGTCGGCGCACGCATATGGCGTCATGGGATCGGGTTATTTTAATAATATAAAATGTAATATTTTCCAGTTCATTTGCTATTATATATATATATACTAATGTATTATTATGATTGTTATTATTATTTTATTATTTTCCCCTGGCTGTTTTCTTATTTTGTACTGGTGGTTACTGTTCTATATTGTATTTATATTTGCACATTTATAACTAATAACAAAAGTAACACATTTTCTAAAATACTAACTATAGTAGGGCAGGTAAACCTTTATATTCTTCATGCATAAATTGCTAATGTCAACCTAAATCTTTTTCTTTCTTTTTTTTACACAAGTGGATATAGTATTTACAATTTTTTGTAATCTATTTTTATTACATTTTTTGTATTACTGCTTAGTTATAAATATTTTTTAAAAGATAATTGTATTTTATATATTTAATTATCAAAGTTTGCATCATTTTTTTCTGACCTGTTTAGTCATTTGTTATTTAATTGTTTTCTTTAAAATGAAACCATGTAAGTGTGTAAGAACAAGTTGTAATCGTTTTGTACAGTTTGCACTATATTCTGTAACCTGTAAACTATATTCTGTAACCTGTAAAACTAATTTTGAAGTGGAATATGCATAAAATGTAATGAACTGTAACTGTAACCACTGGAAACTGTTTTGACTATTCATACAGCATCACTACCAACAGACACAACATTCATATTTTTTTCTTTAATTATGTTGCAAACAATAACATCCAGATATATTGTTAACAATTGGCCGTGTGAACAGTGATACCATAAAAAGCAAAGAGTCCCATTCAAGCTGTGAAGACTGAAGCCTCCAATCTATTCACAAAGTAATAGCTGATGATAGACCTGTGGCTGGAGGATGGACCTACAGACAGGACCTTCATGAGTCTGTCTGTACATGAACCCATCCAGCATGTGCAGAAGTGGGATTGCTTGGGACCTGCGAATAGCAAACGTTCTCTCCGGACACATATAAAAACAGGACATCATCATTGTCATCATCATCATCATCAAGACCTTTTAAAAGAGGCATGTCCAATCTTAAGGTCTTAAGGAAAGCCAATCACAAGGGAGTAGCACTTCTCATGGGGATAATAAACTCTGGACAATGTAATACATGCTTAAATTACAAATGATTAGATTCAGAAATATTTTTTGTCCAAAATTACCCACTTTTTTTGGTTTAGGTTTACAGCCCCAGTGCATATGAATCTCTTTTTGGTGCTGTGTAACACAGTGAAGTGACTGAAGAACCAATGTCAATCGTCTCCACTAGAAACTACAGGAGGCATCAACGGTGTTTGCTTGCGATGGGCACTTCTCCCTTGGGTTGCTCAGTCTGCCACAATCCCATAGCGAAATAAAGTCGTCACCTTCCTTCATTCAAGCACACACAGATCGGCTTCTACAACCACATACTGAGCGGCCCACTCTTAGCACGCCAGCTGACCTATCTGGTAGGGGTGTCTAGCTTCATGAACCAATCATAGCACATTATATACATTAGACGTCACTTTGACCATTTGAGGATGGTCGGACATCAAATGTGGCCAATGGTTCCCCACCAGACAGCTCAATTCTCAGTACGGTTACATGCAGCAGTGCTACGTGGACAGGTACAGATCTCAGACTAGTCACTATCAGATTTTCAGCAGCAGTAGGTACACCCAGTACACACACAACAGGAAATCGCTTGATAATAGCATGGTTAAGCAGTGAATTCTTTATTATATAATTGCATTGGAATGAAAAGGCTAATTAAAATGCATTTTGAAGCCTTACATTGCGTAAACCTTCAATCCGATGGGACCGAAAATCTAACAATAGCAGGGATGTGCAAGTTAATTGAATATCTTTTGTCTTTGCACAAAGTCAAAAGGCATATATTTTCCTCAAAAGATATGGAATGGTTTATCTCCATGTTTGGGACTTTATCAAATCATTTCCCATTGTGTATTTGTTTGTTCATTTATTAATAGATAACGCAGAGAAAGTGCCACTCGTCACACTTGAGTCATGGCTTGAGCACCTGTGGTTATTTTAGGGATATTCAGCTATGGTCCACAGTATGAAGATCCCTTTACAATAGGAGTCACCATCAGGACTCTCCACAGAGAGAACAGGCAGATCATCAGTTCGTAGCTCCACAACTTGTTGGTTTATTATGAGATTGAGCTTTCCACAGTTTTTTTTTATTTTATTATTTCATCGTAAGCCCATCGTTTCATTTTTTTCACCATGGAAATCTTTGCACCCATTCTTTTAGGACAGATTTTTGCACATCCCCTGATGAGAGGAAACTTTGAGCTCTTGTCATGCTTTGAACCCCATGTCTAAACTGAGGGTTATGAATTCTCAAGTCTCTGAGCAACTGCCATATGGGGCAACGAGATCATTAAACAACAAAGGAAGAATCAGGACATCTTCATCTGAACGCAATCTTAAACGTTGAGGGCCAAATCAAGTGCTTCGTAAAGGCAACGTTTACGGTGCTTACAAGTTTGAAGTGCTCCTGAGTGACAGACAAATCAGTCAAAATCAAAATCTTTACTAAAGCTATCTCTGATTTGGACCAAAAAGAAAAACTCTTGCTGCCCACTATTCAGCATGGCTTTTTGGACGCAGGAGTTCCGTACAAATTCACTCCTATAATTAAGCAGTGTAAAGTCATGTCTCTGGGATTGTACTTCTCAGTAGGACGTGTCATGACAAGTGTACAAAGATTTATTCCCAAAGGTTTCCAGACAAAACACATGAAACGTTCTTAGATGCAACCATTAAATGTTATCTAAATCCACAAGAAGAGAATGGTAAGTACACTCCAGAAGTGATGCAACAAAGCTACAGAATAACTCTGATAACAAGCCCCAGATCAACTCTCCTCCTCAGCACTATAGGTTCGTTCTGTAGCATTTGCCCCTTGAAAGGTCTCCAAGCTAGGCACAAACAGACTAAGACAGTGGACGAGAAAAAAAAAGAAGAAAAAAAAAGACAAAGAAATCAGACACTGTCATTAAATTATCAGTTTAGTGCCCTACATTTAACCCAGTCAGCTTCTGCCTTCGGTAGGTCAGGCTGAGTGAAAGATCAGCCTGTGTTAAACCTATGGTACTTCTAGACAACATTATGTAAATTTACAGTATACAGTTTTGGATTCACCATGCAAGAATACTTTTTTTTTATTTAATAGCTCGATCTACATCCAGAATAATTTACATAAAAGGACACGCTATTGAACCAGAGTTTGGTGGGTGATAACCGTGGTGTTCGAGTGCATCCAGAAGAGCAGGAGGAAGCTGAGGGGGAAGTGGAATGGGTCCAGGGGGTGGAAGGGAGCATGGAGTTGTTGTGAAGGGTCCTGCGGCTATGATCAGCGACACTCCCACACTTTTACTGTTTGATCTACACTCCCAGTGACGACGTACGGAGCCGACTTGTGGAAATCTGTGGAGAGAATAGAGACACTGTACTTTAGGAACATAGACTTGAACTAATAATTAGTATTACTCATAATAAAAAGGCAAACACTTTAATACTTCTTCATATACCGTTTCCTTATTTAGCAGTTCAGTAAAATAATTTATTAAACAGAACTGTTAAAAAGACAGTAAACTAATGAAGATGGAGAATAGGAGATCCTGTCCATCTGCAATCAGAAGAAAAAAAACCCACTTCTGACATTTATCAGACAAACAAAATAACGTAACGGCCGATGATTAAAAATGCCAAAGATGCTGTGTAATGTGACAATTTTTTCTTAAACATGGTGGCGTTAGCTAAGCCAATGGCATGAGTTTAGGGTGGGGCTGTCTGATCATTTGACAGATGAGGGGGGGGGGGGGGGGGATCTTGATTGAAACCAATCTGTATTTTACCAATTCCTTTTGGTGACGCTCATGGCACAGACATGACACACTTCAGCTTTAAAACATACATAAAACACTTTAAATAGCAGGATTCACAAGCTCAAACAGTGTCAAGAGACCTGATACCTCAAACAGACACTATTCACACCAAAACCATTGTTTCTAATCAATAGTCTAGAAGATGAGTGTTGTGTACTGAAGTGCTTTTAAAAGGAAGTTTGAAGCTTCACAGGAGCCTACAGGGGAACTGGCTGAATAACATCAAGTATCTCTAGAGAGCTTCAGTGCCTTGATCCACTTAAAAGATCTGGACTCGAGCAGTTAAAAGACTGGAGGGTTCAGCGTCCTCTCTAAATAAGCTGCCAACGGCTGACAGGACTACCTTTTGTCAAGTTTCAAACTTCAAAATCACTCTTTGGGGGAAGTAAGGATGTGCTGTACACTTAAGGCATCTTTACCCTTCCTTGGTCATCAAAACAACTGATATGCATTTCAAACAACATCAAAAACCAGTGAGAGAAGATTACCGTAAATACGGCCACTTACCCAGAGAGGTAACAAAATGTTCATGGGCACTCAAGGTCTTCATGCAGCGCTTGTTTTTGTAGTCCCAGATCCTCAAAGTCTTGTCATCAGCACAGCTCACAATGAACTTTCCTCCAGGGTGCACAAGAATCCCACGGACCCAGTTATCATGGCCAACCTAAAGAGACGACACCAAACAAAAAGATTCAGATTCAAAAAGCTTCTCACATTCTGCAATGCAGAGACTCACACTAAATTTACTAGACCGACTCACCAGTGTCATAAGGCACATGCCAATGCTCACATCCCACATCTTAATCGTCTTGTCTCTGGAACCAGACAACAGGAAAGGACCAGGTTTCCCGCTCTTCTTGGTCTGGCAAAACAAAACAGCAAAAAGAGCATTTGAACCAATGCTGTGGAGTAGCCAACTCGAAATATAAATTTAACAACTAGTGTAATGGCAATCCAGCTGTTATTAAAATACTAAAAACCAGTAAGCTTTCAGTTGTCACTGAAAAGTAGCGGCATATCATGAATCACAATATAGCAGTGAATCGGTTTGTTCGGACAATTCATGCAAATTAATAAATTATAATAATAAAATAATTCCCCCCCTCAAATAAATTAAAATCTATTAACATTTTTGTATTCTAAATATATTTGGTGTCAATGTATCAGTTTTCAAGCTTGATGCGGTCATGTCATCGAAAACATTAATTGCGCCAGGAAAAGAAATAAACAAAAGCTTATAGCTTGGCAAACAAAAACAACTTCCCCGACACGTTCCATCAACCCATTTTTATGCAAATTTTGGGATATAGCATAAATAAAAAATGCCAAGATGCGCATAAATTCTAAAAATGTTGGATAATTTATCTGGTAAGAAGACATGTGCATATGGGTTGTTTACACCTGGCCTCTTCATGCGTTTTCTCAGATCGGATCCGATTTATCGAAACGATTCCATTTACACCTGGTCACATAAATGTGTTTTCGCAAAACGGATATAAATCCGATCTTCGCAACAGATATGAGCTGCATTTTATTGATCATCAGCTAATTTCAAAATCAAAGACCGCAATAAGAGAGAGTGGCAACAGCCCTGGTAAGATCATTTCGTTTCTTTACTTTTAATGAAGATGATTGTGTGTTAAGCGTCTGCGACTTACTTTCACTTTGATTTGCGATAGTTTGCACGTTGGCTTGATGAACAATGCTCTGCTCATCTACGGTGATGTGTGCTGCAGTAGCGTCGTCATATCTGACTATAACATGACATATAGCCTATAATACGCTCTCACACGTTTATTTTTAAGCATTGTTGGGAGGAGTAAAAGCATAAGGAGCAAGAGAGGAGCATATACACTTGTCCAGTTTCGTCTGGAATGCGGCCCAGACCTCCTCCTGAAGTGGTTTGAGCGATCGGATTCAAATCCGTCTCGAATGCGTTTCGGAGGGCATTTATACCTGGTCTTTTCACGATCGGATCACAGAAAACGCATGAAGTGGCCAGGTGTAAACAGCCCAATAAACTATAAAGGAAACACATTTACTGAATAAATTCCTTGATGTGCAAAAATTCATGTGACTTTGCCTCAACAGATCATGTGAACTGGGGCGCAATGGAACGGCATAACTGGACTAACCAGCGGACTGATCTTGTTGTACAGAATCTAAAGTGTTGTTTTGGTCATTCGTAAATGCCTTAGCCAAAGTCTTTCATCAAAGTGTTTCAGTAAAATTACCTCCTAGGACTATCTTAAGATTATAATGTTATACATCAAGCGAAATGGAAGAATGAACTGGTATAATGGCATTTCGAACAAAATCAGGCCAAAACGAACTTTACACGACTGCATTCACAATCAGCAGGTATCCGCCTCCAAAAGCAAGATAACATGACTGTGTTTAATTTATTATATCTTCTTCACTTTCCTAAAATAATTGTCATTTGATAATGACTTGGGTAAATTGACTATTGAAAATGAAAATGACTATTTTAGGTAAAAAAGACCCACAGTGACTTCTCCTACTGCAGCAACTTCCCTTTTTCTAAGTGATATTTGATGGCAGTTTATCAGGAAGTTACGATTTTGTTCTCTTCAACTCGCTGGATGGAAATGGTGCTTTATTTAATGTTTTATGCGATATTCCAATTTTGCACACAAGTTAAATTCAAAATTTTGGATGGAAACATAGCTACTGATGTATAACATCTCACACAGAGCATGTGTGTATAGATTAATATTTATTGTTCTTTGAAGAAAGATGCAATAGCGTTTAGTCAAGTCTTTAAACCACAACAAGGTTACGGAAACTGCTTTATCAAGACTGATGCCGACAACAGCAACATTAGGAGAGACAGAGACTTTAGTGGAGGTGCCTATAACAGACATTAAATAACACCACTCTGATGAATTACTTTCCTTTGAATTCCACACCTCAAAATAGAGTACAGAGACCCATTACACATCTCGTGCAGTCAATGAAAAGAGGGATATAACAAGAGCAGAGGTGTTTGGGGCGATAATGCATTTAGATAGTTCTGCAAAGAATGGACGGTCATTACATTCAAGGCCTTATCTATTATTTCCCTGCCATAAAAGGCCAACTCTGCTCGAGGTGAAGTGTGAACAGACACACAAAAACAAAATTGCTCTTGATGAGAGGCTGGCATGCTCAGACAAGTGTGTTCAGGGACATTTATACAGAGCTGCTGAAATGACATACAAGGCTTTGTTATTAACATCTGTGGCAGTTTTATGGATATCAAGAATAGGTTGAATAGGTTCAACAAGACCAAATAATGTTGCTTTTTTTTAATATTGAGGCTAAAGTTTCCCTTACACAATAGTAATTACTGTAAGGGTTAAAGTCTGTATTCAACTTGCTTTGAGGGCTAATGCTTCAGCAGATAAAGATTAAATTGGACACGGTTGATCATAAGACTGGCAAAAAAATACAAATGGTACGTTCTTCACCTTAGGGCCATCAACTGGTAATCCCACCCATGTAATTTCATGGTCTATTTCAAACCATTGTACATGACAAATTTAGATCGTCAGTTGAAAATCAAAAGGACCATCAAAATGTGTTTAAAGTGCACAGCAAAGGGATCAATATAACATTGAAAAAATTTTGTATTTACAAAAACAAAGAACCATTGATTCAAACCATTTTTTTAAAAATAAAAGGTTAAAAGAAGTGGAATTTTTTTTCCTGTTGACCTGTAATAACATCTGAGAGCTTGTTTCTTGTAGCATCTGTAGTATACTTTTGTAAATATATTTTTACCTGGTATTTTACTGTGCCCATGTTGTGCATATTACATGTTACCAGTTACTAATTACCAGTGGTGGTTGAAGTACACAAGTATGTTAATGCTGGATTTTAGTATTGATTATTGTAAATGAAAATAATAATTTGGTCTGTTCTTTTATACTATCACATAAGCAAAACTTTGCAGGCAAAAAAGGGCCATTGTCACTTAAAGCTGCAGTCCGCAGTATTTCCTCTTTGTCGCCATCTCTGTTCGAAATCTGCAATTGCAGTCATTCGCAGAATTATCAACTTTACGTGAGTTGTGCCTCGACGCGGCACAGCGCGGATTAACACAATGTTTGAGGAGAGTGTGCAGCTGTCAGTCACCACGCCGGTGTGGATACTGGCATTCGGAATCACAGATTATTATTTTGGAAGTATGACCAACATAATAATTTTCACCAGAAAATGTCATCTGAACAAGTAAATAACATCCACTTTTGTTCTGGTTCTGACATTGCAGTAAATCGCGATGATTAAATCTAAAAATCGCTTATCATATCACGCAAAACCGTACAAATTATACTTTGGTCTCAAATTGTTAATGTTAACAATGTCAGCATTGGGTGACTACATGTAATGTCCTTCCGATATGTAACGTTATCCTTGTTTTCGCATGGGCCGGTTGCAGTCTCTTTTTTTCTGTAGCCACTCCGAAGGCCGAACGAAGACTTTTGCATTTTACAGCGGGTGAATCTGTTGTCACTGGTGATCGTCGTTTGAACCTTTCTGGATCCGCCATCAAATTGATAAGTTTAATTAGATCAAGTGCTGTGAGAAAAGGCTATAAATCTCCATTATAGCTTATACTAGCCGAGACTAGTGTTGTCAAAAAACTCGGTACTTCGGTACCAAGTCGGTACTAAAAAAAATTAACGGTTACGGTACCAGCTTTTCTAGGTACCGAGTACCGGGTTAATCCGGTTCTTGATGCGCTGTCCGAAAGGTGCAGAGTTGCGTCCTCTTCATAAAAACACTGAGACATGGCGACCGGCGGCGCTGCTAATGCGGTGGCTCTGAATCCACTTGTTGACAAGAAAGGAGGAAAGAGCCACATATGGAAATATGTTGAATTAGGCTAATGTCACGTTGCCATAAAGGGCCGTTCACACGTTCACATAGCACGTTTTTTGCGCGTGCAAATTTCAAATGTAGGCGAGCGGGAAGCGCGCTCATAATAGAAGCGACGTGCGAGCTTGTTTTTCCAGGCGCGTCACTGTTTATGGTTGCATAGCGGAGACACGCGAGAGCGAGCGCTTGTGGAGAGAAGGAGAAAGCGATGCAAACTGCGCTCTCCGTGATGACGAGGAAGTATCAGCAAAGAATTAATTGATTTCTAGCCCTTGCATTAGAAATCAGCTACAGGGTTCTCAAGTTTTGAAGACAGGCAAGAGTGACATTTTTGGCAGTTTTGGATTAAATAAAAGTACAGTTAAGTCAAATAAAACATGTTTTATCTCCTGTATAGTTTGGTAACACTACAATAAGATACCATTCATTAACATTACTTAATGTGTTAACATTAGGGCTGTCAACTTTAGTCGTTTAGTCGACTAATCGGTCGATGCCGTCTTGGTCGACTGACATTCTTATTGGTCGACCAGTTGCATTTTTTTTTTTTTTTTACCAATATAAATACATTTTCAATGATTTACTCCTTTATATTTATTCCTTTATAAGCAGTTATATATTACTGTATTCTAAATATAATTAGCCTATGGTTTATCCCCAACTTTAAATGCTTTAATTTAGGCTATTTTGTAACAGCGCCACAGTTTAGCGCACACACATAGAACAGTCGGTTCGCACCTGTGGCTGGCTGCGCTGCTGCTTCGCGCTCAGTAAGGAATATAGGTAGTTTAGCTGTATTCATTCAGTTAGAACGCTACTTGTTCCGGTTTTTATGTTTTTATACACTATATGTTTTTATCTCGATGCGGCGTGGACGCACTTGGAAAAAAAAGAGCGCGTCGCACCGCGACCGTGTTGCTTCCATCATAAGCGCGCACACACGCGCCTACATTTGAAATCGAACTTGAGCGCGCAAAAGACGTGAGCAGTCCCTTTAACGGCTTTATCATGCTGACTCAATAGATTGTGTTTTCTTGATATGTTTTTGTTTTTATTTGTACACTTGACACGTTTGAAAATAGCCTAAATAATGTAACAAAACGAAAATAAACCTATATGCGGTCCTACAATACAGCCTATTATTATTAGGATTGTAGGCTCTTTGGTTTTTTGTGTGTTTGTTTTAAAACTCCTAGATCGGCTGGACAAAAGTTCACCCATAGCTTTGAAAGTAAAGAAGAATATACAGCCTGTATAAACGAGAGCTTTCGTTAGGATTTTTCATTGTGGCAGATAGCAGTTATATTTTTTGTAGCGTGTGGTGTGGTCAGGTGCGCGATTGTGACTGTTACTATAGACCTAGGACAGTGCTCCTCACTTTTTGCAGTTAAAAAAAAAATCACTTAATTTTCAAAGAATTGTATTATTATTATAGTTTTATGTATTTTTGATGTTTTTTCGTTGTTGTTTTATAAATGCTCTATGACAATTGTTAAAAAATGTTCAATCAAAACATCGCGGTTTTTTTTTTTGTCGACTAATCGTTGTGCAGGACAAGACTTTGGTCGACTAAGGATTTCTTTGGTTGACTACAGCCCTAGTTAACATCAACACATTGAGTGAACAATATAGTTTTACAACATTAATTAATGTTTGTGAATGTTATTTAATACAAACACTTGATTGTTCATGTTTGTTCACTTCATTCATTGTGCATTAAATAGTGTTAACAGATAAAACTTTTGATTTTAAAAATGTATTAGTATATTTTAAAATTAACCCCAAGGAGAATAATTGCTACAGTATATAACTATGGTTTACTGTTAGGTAATTTTATCTAATGTTATCTAACAAACAGAATCTTATTGTAAAGTGTTTTTAATACTACAGTTTCCATCTTTGTAACTGTGATATACATATTAATATATGTACATTTTATCTAAATTAAGCTTTGGTACCGAAATTGGTACCGAGAACCGTGGATTTTCACTGGTATTGGTACCGAATACTGAAATTTTGGTACCGTGACAACACTAGCCGAGACTACTCTTTTATGTGTACAGATGTGACGTAATGACGCAAAGACATGCTCAAATCTCCCGCGGAAATCCACCAGTACCACTGGAATTAAAAACATTACAAGCTTACCGCTTTGAATCGACCTAAGGTAAGCAGATAGTTTTGAACACTGGCTGGTTATGCATTTTCTCAAATATGTATTTTGGATAATTTTTAACCCCAAAAAAAGCTACGGACTGCAGCTTTAAAACAAAAAGCTTTATGTTGGTCAACGTAGCGAATCTTTTACCCTCATGCGAAACTCCCAATCACATTTCCAATTGAAATTATTGCACACAAATTCACAGGACAAGAGAAAATGTGTAATCTCTTGGTTATTGGCTCATTTTGAGTCAGACTAACTGGATTATTGAATCAGCAGTTGACTCAAAAACGAATAATCGATGAGTGCGATTTGCTAACCAATTTAACGGGTTCATTGAAAGAATCAGATCATTCACAAATCAGACATCGTATTGACAATATCTTTCAGCTTAAAATAACAAGGCACAATGTTTTTATTTTATGTAGTGGAGTTAAATGTATGATAGTATGCTTTGGAAACGTGGTGAAGTAAAAGTTTACCAAAATAAAAATGCTTTGATAAAGAACATATAATTGACAAAATGTACTAAATTCTTATAATCCCCCTTGGTCTGAGAAAGGTAAAAGTAAAATTACTAGACCTGGAAACTTCAAATATAGAACTGAACACAACTTAAATCATCCCTGAGGAAGGTGACAGTAAAATTAGAGGGCAGAGTTTCCCATACGTTCATTTATTTGTGGCGGCCCGACACAATATCAACACTGATCGCCACACATTGATTTTCGATATGCTTTTTCTTTACTAAGCCCATTTAAAATCGTATTTGATTGCAGAGCGCCGTAGCGCATTCGCACAGCACTACCTCTCGTGCTCTCGCTCACCCGTACCTCTCGCGCTCTCTCTCCCTCACGGAACACCGCTGCACAAATCTGTCCAACACAGCGCTGTTAATGTTTGAGACCCAGCTTTAAAAAAAGTTATTAGCCAGCATGCAAGGAGCCTAGCTAATAAGGAGAGCTAAGTTATTGTTAGAATACAGCTGGATTTTCGAGGTTAGCACGCTGTATATAGCTGGTAGTCCACTCCGTTTTGACCGCCTCATGTTTGGTTTCTTTTTTGCCGCCTCAAGTTTGTGTCGGGTCTCTCGCGTGAGAATCTCGCGTCACGTTCGCAATGTTCAATTAGCCGACATTTAATTTGAGTAAATTCTTGTCGACAATTAATCGATAATCGATTAACCGTTTACATCCCTAAGACATGCACTTCATTACTATTAGTAATTAAGCAATTACCCGTTACCTATAATTATAATTCTCATACATATGAAATGATAGTCTTTGAATGAACTTTATCAACAAGAAAAACACTTGCCATTATAAATACTACAACATTTTTTTTCAATCTGTTAAAAGTGGTTTCAGAAAGCATCTACAATTATGGAACATACTAAAATGTCAACAAATATTTGCCATCACCAATGCTACAGTATTTTCCCCTAATTTTCACTTTGTGCTCTCACCTCTGAGCCGGTCGCCTCCAGGATGGTGGGATGAGCGCTTTCAGGGGCCCAAGAAATGCACTCCACCACATGCTCATGCTCACGAAGCTCCGCCTTGCATTCTTTTGTAGCCACCACCCAAACACGCACCGTTTGATCATTAGAACTACTGGCGATCAGGGTCCCATCCTGGTTGGGCCGCACCATGCGCACCCACTCTCTGTGGCCAGTGAATGTCTTCACACAGTACCTGTTAAGCATTTACAACAAACACATATTTAACCACATTTATTAATGTCAAGAACATTTCAGGTATCAAATATCTGCAAGTTTGTCACATATGTTTGCAAGTCACATCTGACTATTACAACTTTGAGAGCAAAAAGGTGATTTGTTACTTGTACGAACATTTGCACAGGTGCTTTTCAGCTGAAGTAACTCAACACAGTAATTGAAAGTCCTGTTTTGTTGAAGGAAGCTATGGTTAGACACATTGATCTAAAACCAACAACCTGTTTTAGCAGCCCAGGACTTATAAACGATATGCATGTAATAAATATCAAAATAAAAAAGATGAAACCTGCATACAGCATTTGCTAAATGACTTACCCAGTAGCCACCTCCCACATTTTAATGGTTTTATCCCTTGAGGCAGAAACTATGTGATCTCCATTGGGCATAATAGCTACAGATGAAACATTATGGTCATGCCCTGAAAAAAATAAAAAAGGTCAGTAAAGAATCAAGTATAAAATTTTCCAAACTGTCCTGAAATTGTCATTCAAAGAAGGACCAACAGTGTCTGAGATGGATGCACTGAAATCATTTCTCGATTCAGTGCACAAAATACACATTTCTAGCATACAAATCAGACAGTCATGCACATTAGCGTCTGACAATGTACGGTTAAGGTTTAAAACACATTGAAAAATTTAATGGAGAATAAGAAGCTGCTAATTTGCCTTGGGCTGCTTTGTTCTCACAGTGTGCATGGAAAAAGATGAGCTAATTACACAGGACGCCATTTTTAAGCTCCTCAATAGATGATGAAACTAAGTAGCCTAGAAAAAGCAGTCTTAAATATGGGGGGTGGGGGGCACAAAATGTTATCTCGTCTCAAAGAGGATAATTAAACTGCTGTCCAAATCTCCTAATCTTCCACTAAAGCAGCCGACCCACGAAGCGAGACGGGGAGAGAGAGAGTGAGCGCGAGCAGAAGGGGGACTTGCAAACAGAAGGTAGGGGGGTTCCTTTGCCACCTCTTCAAAGATAGACTGTGCTAGAACAGTCTACCCTAGTCTCAGGGCATCATGCCAGCTTTAGTGATGGGTGTAAATTACAAGCCTTTAGATTTGTGCATATTACAAGCTGCCGCACACATTATTTGGATTATAACCACTGAGGATTTACACATTTTTTTATATGGATTACAAATGACTTGAGGGAAACTAAGAACACTTTAAACATTAAAATATGTTTTTTGAGAGGTTAACAAACATTTATGTATTGTGCATGACAAATGATAGGGCACATCCATCCACGCTATCTATCCTTACTGTTAACCAACCAGCTGACCTATTCTTGAATCAACGCTGCTAAAGTGCATTTGTGTATTTTGATGCACAGTATCAGTGTTTTTGGTTTGTATTGTAAGATTCTAAAACAATACAATTATTTGAGCATTTTGAGTGCATTAGTGAGGTTTTGATACAGTTTGAACTTCATAATTAGTGGAATATAAAGTGACTGGATCGCAGACACTTGTGCCCCCAACCCCCCTTCTCTTCGCAGATTTTCACACAGACTGTTTTTGCGCTTTTCCAAACCTGTGGTGAGATCTGACCCAAGCTAAAATGGGGGTTTCATGACACTAAGTGTTAACTATCCATCTAACACATGGAAAGATATGTTGACATAATACAGCACCCGTAAGACAAAATGCAAATTCACTTGTGGTGTGATCTCCCATATGAAAAGCCTGAAGGCCTCCCTTTACCAAAGAAGCTATTAAAATTTATCAAGCAATTATGATTTTAAACAAGAGCAGAGCCTAAGGAATGGCTTTCTGAGGACCGGATCTCTCACTTTTGTGGAGTGGGGGAAATTTTTTTTTCCGTCAAAATGTTCTAAGAACAAATCTTAATCTTAAGAAAATGTTATACAACATTATACATTATATCAAATGAATAAATATGAATTATAAACAAATATATAAATATGTTTGCATATAATATATTTATAGGAATTATTAATTAATAATATAATTATACATTAACTAAAACAATAAAACCTTCATAAACAGCACAGTTATATTTGATTAAATGTGTTAAAGGCTGGCTTCTAATTCAGGAAGAATCTCTTATGGATTTGTTGGCAAGCTGGCACATTAATGAGCTGCATTCAGCACCTGCCCCCTGACACTTTATTCCCCCCTGAGACGCCACACCGCTCCTAACAGTTCCCAGAACCAATGACAACATATGACAACGTGCTCACCGTGCATGGTCCTGATACACTCGAAGCCCTGGAAGTCCCAGAGCTTAATGGTCATGTCTGCTGAACAGGAGGCTAGTAGCTTTCCAGTTTGGTCAAAGGAAATGTCCTGCACCGAGTCTGTGTGGCCCTTGAGGGTACGCTCAAAGTCACCCGTTTCATAGTCCCAGACCTGGATCAGACACAAAACACATTTTAGCCCAAGATGAGCATCTATTCAATAAAAAAAAACATTAAATTGTTTGGCAGCTTGTAATGATACGGTAATACATAAAAGGCAGGTTTGGGCTTGTAGCTGCTATTATATATTCAGGGAAACATCTGTCATGCAGCCAGCTTTAAAACACCATCAAAACACGCAAGATTGCCCTCTGGATACAATCTATAGTGTGAACGTTTGTTCATTTAGTCTTTATCAGCCTGTCAGAATTTCATCCCATATTAACCTTACAGTATCTACTGCACTCCAAGCAAAATTGTGTCAGAATATTTGACATGTTTACCTTAAAATTCAGTTTTCATCATTTTCTTTATCATTAAAGCATTTTTGTGAAGTGAGGCTAATGTTATCTGCTTGTTCGCCTGGATGCAGCAGTATGATAAACAGCCTCAGGGCTTAATGTGAAGATCAGGTTTCAGCAGTTTCTAGGCGGCAGCCAGACACACAGGGATAAGCTCTGTCTGCTACATAGGGGGCCGGTGACAGAAGCCCCTCCACCTGCTTATCTGTCTCCTGCTTTCAAAGGGGGATACTGAATTTAACCAGTCGTGTTCTGATAGAAAACACGCATAAGAAAAGCCTGATGTGGCACACCTGGGTCAGTCAAGCACGTAAGCTTTAACAATGTGGCTGAGACTGCAATACTATTATAGAGTGTATGCTACATCTGTTTTTAGCAAGGACTTATATCTGCCCTATTGATCTGTCTGTATGTGCCTGATCATCAACATACTCTCACCTTTACTACAAAAATCAATACAAATTAAATTGAAAAAAGTTGGGAAATTGTACAACTACAGCAAATTGAAACATAAATTCTGACTGATATCAATAAGGCAATAATTATTTTCTTGTTATGGCTGATAAGTTAACCAATAAATGGCCAATACTGAAATTACATACTACTTTGACTAAATAAATGAAAGATAAAACACAAAAAGTATCACAACATAACAGTATTAAAAAAAAAAAAAACGTCTTCATTTTGAGAGGTACTAAAGATTACATTGAACAGATTTATAAAATTATGTTTTTAAAGACTAACTTGAGTGTTAGATGTTAGTTATGTTGATATGTTGGATATCAGCAAACTGAGCAAAGGTAATCTAAAATGTAAAAACCAAGGAAAATAGCATGCACAATTAAATTTTTATTTGATAATCAATAAATTAATACATTTAGCCAATAACAGATATGGTCCCAATATATTGTGCATCCCTAAAAATCAGTTCATTTTTATCTGAAGAACAGAGGCTAAACAAGACTATATAACTAGGCTTAAAAAGCAAGGGAAAATAAAAATAAGAGCAATGCTGATGAAATTAACCATGAAGTGCTGGATGAACCGAGACTGCTTTTTTTTAGACAAGAATGTTGACGTTCAGATAAATTGTGGAGATGAAAGAAAAAAAACTGAATGTTCGAGCGCATGTCATATTTTCATGTGCATGTATAAAACATCACAGTCTGAAAAAAATATACTTGCACATGAAACTGAATTGCAAACCTGAATAGCAAACTTTTTTTTGATTCAATAACCCGGCTAAGCAAGAAAACTGTCAAAAAAGCTGTCAAACTGCTTATTAACATGTTTAAGAAAAAAATGCTTAAGTAAAAAAAAAAAAAGTCCTGCCACAGCCGCCTTACCACATCTGCATTACACTGAGCAGAGGTGAAAAAAAAAAAGCATTTGGGTGCACCGCTTCAGGCTCCATGATAATTAGCTATGAATATGTGGATGGGGAGAATGGGACAGAATATATTTGGTTTAGCTCTAGCTGTCTGGTTGAGGGCCGCCCATGTTAAGATGAGCAGGGCTGAGTTTAATAGCACCAAGTACAAAATTAGGGCACAGGAGGAGGGGGCACAGACTCAGGTTGGTGGCCATAGCTGCCGGCACTAAGACGGGAAATTAATCACTCAAAAAACAAATGTCCAGGAAAATAATGGAATCCTTTGTATGACTTATTGGGAGGACTAGGACTATGCCTTTCATATATTATACCTCTGAATTTTTTGGCTGATCTAAAGTGTGAAAATGTTCCCTCTTGGCTTTAAAATCAGCCAAAAAATAAAAAAATCCTCAATAAGTGGCTATAAATAGGTTTAGACAGGTTGTCTGTAGAGTTGCTGGGCTCGGTTATGAATAGCAGGCAGGCAGAAACAGGGCTTATTACCACGGGATTGTCATACTGCTTGTGCAGACTTGTATATTGTGTAGACTTGTATATTGTGTGTCTCAAGAGCTCCTGCATGAACAAGCCAAGAAAAAAAAGAGGACAGTGGCTGTCCGCAGTCACATTTACAGCTCATTCAAGGCAAGGCTCTGCAATTATGTCAGTCAGTTAGCCTAAATTTGATGGGCCATTTTCACACTGTAAATCAAGATTTGATCACACCAATGTAACAAATGCAGGGTCAGTTTTAGAGGTATGAGATGTACACCATGCAGAAAGAGTGATTAATAACGCCACAGAAGATACAGAAGACCTCACCTTTATTGTTGCGTCCTCTGAGGCAGAGACTATGACACTGAAAACAGGATGGAAAATGACTCTGGTGACAGGACTCCTGTGGCCACTCAGGGCGTATCTCTCAGGGGGACGGGGGATCCATTCTTTGGGGTCTCGCTTCTGTGCAATTGGCCCACCTAAAGTAATCTCCTCCTTTGCCTCATTCAGTTTTGATTCTAATTCCATGACCTAGCAGAAAGCACAATGTGTAAGACTCATCATTACACACATCAAATTAAATGAAGAGTGACATTTTGGAATACAGTTTCTGTAGTTGAAACAGCGTTTTTAAACCCAGACTTTTGCCATTTCAGAGCATGAATAGTCAATGAGTCAAGGCTGCCTTCATGGTTCTTAATAGGATTTGCATTAAATATGAAAGGCACAAACCTTTTTCTGTAATCTGATGACTGATGTCCATTTCTTTTCCAAAAGACCTGCATACTTTTTATCCAATTCCTCATTCTGGTGACAAAAGATGACAGAAACTTTACACCTTAGCACAACACACTGCATTAAAGAAATACAAGAATTACATACAGCCTTAAGCAAAAAGAGGCATACACCCATCACCCCAGTGGCAAATGTAAATTCCCTTTAAATCCCTTCACATGGGTTAATCTCTGGCAGACAACGAGAGCTTACCAAGATTACAATTACACAAACACTGCACAGTTAAAAAATTAGGGTGCCTGGCACCAACTAGACCTTTCTGTGAGTCACATTTAGCTTTCAATTTGAGACATGAATCCCATTAGCATTCTCTGATCAACAAACCAAAACGAATAACTACAGTACTAACAATTTCTTTAGGGGTAGGCAGTATGACTTACGTTTTATATGTATAAATAATAAATTATTAAATATTTAATTTAGATTTATGTAGATTTTTTTTTTAGGACAAAGAGCTCCTCTTAAACATACAGAACAGTAATATCAGAGCCTGTTATAGCAAACACTTGACATGATGGCTGGTTTTACTGCTGTGGATCATTACCTTCATTCGAAATTCCACTTTATTCAAGACTAATTCTTATTCAGTCAAATTCTGAAGTATGAAAATCCAACAAGACTAATTGTGTGTAAACCCTGAAATTAGACATTTTTATGGATGTTTTTAAATAGGCAAGCTGAGTCTCAGCCGGAAACCAATATGAAGGTTCTGTTTGCTGAAAGAAGTGTACACATGGTTCTGCTTCACTAGACTGCTCTCTAACCATCAAATATGCAAAAGCATAAGACAGCTCCCAGATCTATGGTTGATGGAAAAAAAGGATGTGGCAGACAAAGAGAGGAGAGGCACTTTCGGAGTAATATTAGGTGTCCAGCAGAACAGGTGCCGTTTTTGTGATGAGAAGTGGAGTGAGAGGGGTCGTGTCATGCGTCTGAGGGAGAGGGTCATTTAAAGCCTCTGCAGAGGTCTGATCCGCCATCTGCCTGGACCCTCTGCCACGTGTGGCGGCCAATGGCTAAATACCAGCCCCATCAGCCATGCCAGCCTCTAATCACTCCTGTCTGACAGTCCATCAGCTCCCTCCAGCCCTCAGAGAGCCACTCTTCATCTACAGTTATGCCTAAAGTCTCAAAACCCTGCCACTTCTTAGAACATCTGAACAGCTGGAAGGATCGATGATGAGATCTCTTCTGCTAAATGAAGCCATGTTAATAGCATTGTGGTTAATTAAAGAGAGCTTTTAGCACCATAGACCACCTTTCGGTTGACAAATCTGATCAATAATTCATCCTCTTTCTTCCCTGTACAAAGAAAATAAACAATTTATCTTCTGTCCAACCAGGAGTGCTTTTAAACAAGAGCTTCTGTGTGTGCAAATGGCTCTCACATTTCCAGAAGGCATATTACGCAGAGCCGTTTTTTGCTGAATTTCAGTAATTATCCTGGTCTATCCTGTGATAATAGAGAGACACTATTCAGTATGTCCCTTTATCAGTGTGAACCATCGCTTAGACAACAGGGAGCATCGGGTTTTACACATCTACCACACATCATAATTATCTCTGCACTACCTTAATTCAGCACGTGCGCTGTCAGTCACAACCTCATACAGAGGCGCCAATTAAAAGGGGAATACTTCAAATGAAGCAATATAGGTTTGACTGAGGTTTAAATGGAGGGGGGTTCCCACACTTACCATGTCTAATTCTGCCTCCTTTTTGAAAACGGAATATGCCTCTTCATATCCGTTGGAACGAAGGTAATCAGCTATCGCTCGGTTTCTGAAAAACAAAGAAAGCCTAATTAGTTCTCTTGATAACCAGGCTTTATGATTGAGGATTAAGAAAAGAGCTGTAGTAAGAGCTTTTTACACAACTGAAAGAACATGCGAGCACATATTCAGACAGTGGTGGAATTTCGTTATGAGACAAAAACAACTGCTCATGGAAAACTCCTTAAGCTTTAATGGTGAATCAGGATAGATAAAGAGTGTGCGGGGAAAAACACTAATATGCAAATTGCTCAGTAAATTTCAGTACTGAGCCAAAGATGTGCCCTTAAAAATACACTTATGAAGGCAGTATATCTGATTAGCCTGGATAAGTCACCCAAAACAGAAACAGCAAAACCTGAAAAAAGCATTAGTGTACAAATATTTTAGATTGATCTACTTTTAAAGGGTAAGATTTTGCAATATTACCGATAACTAGGGGTGTGACGAGATCTCATGCTACGCGCAAATTAGTCTGCATACAATAGCCTGTCTTCCTATATCAAACCTATCTATGGACTGTGTAGTTGTAGCTTTGGTCTCTGTTTGCACTTTGAATATTGAGAGAGTACTTTGATCATGGTTGCACTAGCACTTATTGTTTGCCCTAAATAAGACTTAAGATAAAAACTTATTTATTTTTGTTATTTATACTGTTTTTATTTCTATGTTTGTGGAAAGGTGTTCAGTTATGAAGTCACACACAGCCTCAATCAGAAGTTCTGGAAGCTCATTATTTATGTACAGTAAGGTTTGAAGAGAAAAGCAAGTCAGTTGAGTGTGGAAAAACCTTTTATAGTGCTTGTATATTGTTGTCTTTCAATGCATTTTAATAATTCATACTCAAAAAAGTAGAGCTGAAATGACATTCATTACAAGATTATTAGTACTTAAAACATTTCAAAATGCACCTGCAGACTATTTTTACAGAAATTAATTTTGTCATGGAGGATTTCTATAAAATATTGTGCAAAAATCTCATCTCGTTCTTGTGAATCCAATCTTGTCTCGCCACCCCTAATGATAACAATAAACACACTACATTATTTTCCTTAATTGATTAAGATGAAATTATATTACATGTAAATAAATTAATTTTATAAATACACTTTATTCATAAGTGTCATGTTTGTGATTTTCATTTGTCATCTACCCATAGGATATTTATGAAATCAAAAAAGACTTGCGACAATTTTATTAATTCAGATACAGAAGAAACATGTTATTTGTGTATTTTAACTTTATTTTGTCAGCATTGGGAACTCCAACAGCCTTCCTTTATCCTTCATTAGACAGACGACTAGGGGTGTGACGAGACACGAGATTGGGTTCACGAGAACGAGACGAGATTTTTGCAAAGATTTTCAGAAATCCTCAATGACAAAATTCATGACTGGAAAAATAGTATGCAGGTGCATTTTGAAATTTAACTAATAATCTTCTAATGCATCTCATTTCAGGTCTACTTATGAGTATGAATTATCAAATGCATTGAAAGACAACAATATACAAGCACTGTAAAACGTTTTTACGGACTGGTTTTTCTCCTGTATGATTTCACATGAGTCTCTTCAGACCTTACTGTACATTTATGAGCTTTCAGAACTTCTGATTGAGGCTGTGTGTGACCTCATAACTGAACTCCTTTCCAGAAATTGAACATAAAAATATAAAAACAGTATAAATAACAAAAACAAATACGTTTTCTCTTAAGGCGGGCATAGCCTACACTGTGCGATGTTCGTCCGATTTTGAGCCGTATTCTGACTCGTGCGACTCTTTTTCGGGTCAAAATGTGTGCACATTCAAATAGAATACAAATGCTTTTTACTTTAATAGGGAAAGAATATGTCAGTTATTAGAAGGAAGCCTCCACCTCTGCTTTCAACACATTCTGAGCTGCTGAGGAGTCAGCAAGACTGTGGTGAGCGGAAGATATTCACTGATAGTAGTGATAGTGAAGACAAAGAAGGCTGTCAGAGACGCCACTCTGCTGTCCAAACTCTTCCTGGCATTGTGATGCCAGAAGGATCCACAGCCCAATATGGAAATGCTGTTTCAGCAAGACAGCCACATTGTGCACATATTCTCTTAAATCAAGATCAAAATCAAGATAGACAAGAATTATAATATCTATAGACCAGTCACCAGACAACAAAGAGTCTAACAGCACACAGGCAGAGGAAAAACTCATGGTTAGAGATAAATAATATGATTATATAGCCTATTTATACACTTGTGTGAACTATTTGGTGTATTGGCCAGTTCACTAAGGAGCAGACAATGAAGTGACAGAGCACTAGCCTCATATCTACTGACAGTGAGGGTGCTCTGATTAAAGTCAAGGTTAGCATGAGGTTATCTCTCATGTAACAGACAGCAGGAATGAACTACACTGCTTAATGCTGAAGGGGACAATTGTGTGTGTGTGTGACTCTACTCTGCTTTGAGTTGGACATGCTTAACAGATACCTTTCCTAGAGACACAGCTCAACAACAATGCTTCTTTGTGAGTCAAACAGAGCCGTTTAGCAAAACAAAACTGTGATGATTATGGCCATGTACATTCTGGAAAGTTTTGGGAGTGACAACCACAGTTAAATGCAGGAGTGAAAGGCCTGAATTCTGTGACTTATTCAGCGTGTATATTGTATACAGCAGTCAATTACACGTGCAAAACGTTGCCATCGCAAAGCTGTAAGCAAGAAACAGATGACAGCAGTTCAAAATAAATTTATTTAAAACCAATAATGAAACCCATCTGATAAATTTAATTAATTACTTGTCCAGTCTATCTATGTGCAGTAAAACATCACTAGCATTATATTTTGGATTTCAATTAAATAAGGTAAATTTTAGTTCACTAAATAATGAAATTTATGTTATCATTTACTCATCCTCATCAGTCATTCCAAAATTATGACTTACTTTCTTCTGTGGAACATAAAAGATTGATATTTTGAGAAATATCTCAGTGATTTTTGACTTCCATACAACTGGAAGTCAATGGGGTGTTGCTTCTTGCTTGGTTCCCAATGTTCTTCAAAGTATCATCTTTTGTGGTTAGCACTAGCAGATTTATATATAAAATAAAAAAAAAGGATCCAGGTTTGGAATGAAATGAGGATGAGTATCCCTATTAGGGATGAGTCACGATTTTCAAATATTCGATTAGTTGATTTAATAATAGAATATCGAATAGGTTGTGCGATCATTGTCTAGAAAAAAATCCCTGTTTTTTCGGTGCTGATGCGGTGGTGACGTGTTCATCGAGATCATTATACCAAATCATTCTGATGACAGACTCAGGCATTTCAGAATAACTAAAACATAAGACGCTGTGCAATAAAACTGATCCACTGGTTAGTCCAGTTATCCAATCACACCCTCTGTTGAGGCAAAGTCACATGAGTTTTTTCATAGAGGGATTTATTCGGTAAATGTGTTTCCATCGTAGTTTATGAGCATGTCTTCGTATTGGATTAAAAAAAAATGTATCCACCACCTCAATTGAGCGCATAAGTTATGTGCATTTTTAGAATGTGTTTTTTATGCGATAGGCCAAGCTTTTACATTCACTCGATCGCGCCACAGTTCAGTGCAAACCAAACTCAAATTACCTCCTACAGGTTCAGTACTCCGGTGCACTCCAGGGTCCACATGACAGCTTTCACAAATCAATTTTGAACTAAACTGCCAGTGTGAAAGCACCCTTAGTCACAATTATCATGGTTTGTTTGGTTGACATGAACACAAGCTTGCTCTCTCAGTGAAGTCATTGAAAGTATAGCGTGACTCTCTCGCTGTTAAGACAAGCCTTTTTTTCCAAAACAGAAACTCTTATGAATTCATAACATTTACAGACAAGAATATAACTGTAAATGTAAGTTATGCTAGAGTACCAAATTGAACAAAACAATATAACTGCAAAATTTGAATTTATGAATATCTAACGATTCTCGGTATCGCAAAATCCATATCATGGTACAACATAATACCGGTAGTCACGTTCATACCGGTATAGCGCCCACCCCTATGCTCTGGAGAAAAACAATCCTGAAAATCATTAAACAGCAAGTGCAATCTGTCAAAACACATCAAGCAGCCCACGTGAAACTCTGCTTATGAGCTTTTTTGACACATTTAATAAAATGCTTGAATAAAGAAGAGCTACAAAGACAACCATCCTTAACTGTGATTTCTGCCCAAATTCACTTTGGTCACATACAAAGTAAAATCCATGTTCAGGATATCATTAAAGGCCATGGTGCAGGTTTTTTTTTTTTTTTTTTTTTGCCAGTTTTCTAGTTGGTAATAAACATTTAAACAGTTATCCATTGTATTTTATGTTGTAGGGGATTACAAAAAAGAAATATAATACGGAAAAGTCGGTGATGTGTTAGCATTTACCAATAGCCTAGCGAGGATTCTAATTTCTCCCACAATGCATTGCATGACGTCACATGAGGTACTCGCTGTTGGACAACAGACGAAAGCCCGCGAGTAACGTTAGTAGCTAACGGTAGCTAGTGAAAGAGTGACAGTGTCAGATAAGTAAATATATCGAGATAGATAGATATCATAAGCATAACATAGATAGATAGTGAGAGATAGCATAGCATAACAGCTTAGAGATAGAGAAGAGTAAGCTAGATAATAAGTAGACAAAATGGTTTATTACTGTGTTTGTGGCGGGTGCAAAACTTTATCAAAACTGGACATGGGGTCCATTGTTTCCCCAAGGTCAAAGGGATCTTCCGAAACTGGGTGCAATTTGTCAAGATTAGGCGAGCAGATTTTTCAGCTAAATTAGCTCTGTCGCCGCCTACTCGAGAATATGCAGCGCGCACTTCAAAGAGGAGGATTAATTTACCACGCAGGGGATGCCAAGATGGTCTCACTTAGTTTAAAGAGTGAGAGGATGGCTAAGTTACTTCCTACCGCCGTGCCGTCTGTGAATGCAAACATCTCTGCTTGCCCTGTCCCGAGGTCGAGAGACACCGTCTGCCG